CTTACCAAAAAATAATGGAAATATAGGCAAATATGCTTAACTAGGAGATGACACTTAAAATTGCACCAAGTTTGTCGGTTCCTACTTTTTATTTAGAAGGGAACATAACAGAACACCTTAATTACCATGTGACTTATTTTAAACTATACAGGAAAAGATTGCTGAAGATGTCACATTAAAATTAAAAACAGTAACCTTTAAGTATAGCAAAATAAACTATGATGAGAAAGTATCTCATATAGACTGGGACTAAGTATTACAAAATTTAAATGACTAAGAGCTAGTATCCAGAATATATAAAAATTTCCACAAATCAGTAAGAGAGAGCCCAGTGGAATATAAGGGTAATGCACTTAAGAGAGAACAAGAATGGGCAACAAACATATGAAATCATTCTTGACTTCACTAATTAGGTAAATTAGAATTAAGATACCAATCAGTCTTTCGCAGGAAATGAAATGTGACCTGAATGGTAAAACTTTTAAAAGCCTGATAATACCAAGTATTTGCCAGGATTTAAGGAACTGGATGGTCGGACGGCATCATCGACTCAGTGGACAGGAGTTTGAGCAAACTTCAGGAGACAGTGCAGGTCAGGGAAACCTGGCATGCTGCAGTCCGTGGGATCCCAGAGTCGGACATGACTGAGTGATTGAACAGCAAGGACCTGGAAACACAAATGAATTGGTAGTGGATTCTAAACCAACACAGTTACTCTGGGGAGCAATTTCATGATATTCGATAAAAATGAAAAAGTTTGTGTTCAACAAAAGCACAATTCCATGCATAGGTCCTTCCCAGGGATATGCTCATGTGAAAGACCAAGGATATATAGAGAAAAATAATGAATGCTGTATTTTACAATTCAAATGCACCAGAAACTACCAGTGATAGAACTGTTAAGTAAATGACCTAAGTAAATTGATACGTTCTTATATTATTAATGTTTAATTAAATAAGCTCATTTGCTCAGTCATGTCTGACTCTTTGCAACCCCATGCACTGCAGCACGCCAGGCCTCCCTGTCCATCACCAACTCCAGGAGTTTACACAAACTCATGTCCATTGAGTCGGTGATGCCATCCAGCCATCTCATCCTGTCTTCCCCTTCTCCTCCAGTCTTCAGTCTTTCCCAGCATGAGGGTCTTTTCCCAGCATCAGGGTCTTAAATAAAGAGGATATATAACTCCATTTTGAATTTGAATAAGCAAATAAGTAACCCAAGATTCTTGTTAAAATACATATTCTGATCCAAAAACTCTAGGGTGGAATCTGAGATAGTGCATTTCAAATAAGCTCCTAGAAGATGCTAGTGCCTCTGTTCTATTATCTACACCTTGAGTGGTGAAGGGCTGTATTAATATATGTGAATGTAGATATATCTTGAAAATATTATTGATCAATAAAGCTACTTTATATAGTAAATTATACTATACTATCTGGTATCATTTATCTAGACAAAAATATTACAAAAACTATATACTCATAACACAGACAATACCAAATGCTGGTGAGGATGTGCAAAAGTAGGAACTTTCATTCATTGCTGAATGCAGATTAGTTCAGCTAATTTGGAAAACATTTTGGCAATTCCTAACAAAACTAAATGCAATCTTACCATACCATGCATAGTATGGACTGGATGAAGCACAAGCTGGAATCAATATTGCTGGGAGAAATATCAATAACCTCAGATATGCAGATGACACTTGAACATGAGTATAAGTAAGCTCTGGGAGTTGGTGATGGACAGGGAGGCCTGGTGTGCTGCAGTCCATGGGGTCATAAAGAGTCGGACATGCCTGAGTGACTGAACTAATACCATATGACAATTGTGCCTCTTGATGCTTTTCTAAAAGATAGGAAAATTTATGTCTATACAAAAACCTGAATATTTTCAGCAGTTTTATTCATAATTACCAAAATTTGGAAGCAACCAAGATGTTCTTCTAGACAGTATAATATTACTCAGCACTAAGAAGGCATGAGTTACGAGAAGACATCAAACTATGAGAAGACATCAGGAAATTGAAACGCATATTACTAAATGAAAGAAATCAATTTGAAGAGACTATATACTGTGTGATTTCAACTATGTGATATTCTAGAAAAGACAAAACTATAGAAACAGTTTGAAAAACAAGATCAGTGGTTGCCAGGGTTTGGGTTGAGTGGGAGAGGATGAATAAGTGGGAATACAGGACTTTCAGGATAGTGAAAATAGTCTGTGTAATACTGTAGCAAAGTATACATGTCATGATACCTTTGTCTAAACCTACAGATTGTACTTCACCAACAGTGAACCATAATGTGAAATAAGAAAGGACTTTGAGTATTTATGATGTGTCAATGTAGGTTCATCAGCTGTAACAAATGCACCACTCTGGTGGGCAATGTTGATAATGAGGATGAACACAGATTTTTTTCTCAGTAGGATGTATCACTTTTGATAAAAAGAGCAAAGAGGGAGAAAGATGAGAAGAGGTTAATATTAAAAAATAATTTATAAAACCTTGAGTGTGCTATCTGAATCCTCATCCCTAATTTGAGCTCACCATTTCTGACCTGATCTGAGCACATCAAGATGCAGTTTAAAATATCCTTCTTGATTTTACAACATATGGACTTGAAATGGGCTTGGCCAAAGGGGAGGGGTGTATTTTAATGAAATCTGATTCTGGAGAGCCCATAATTAATTACTGTACTCTTAAGCATACCACACGCTAACATTTCTTACTGTGGATGTGAGTCCAAGAACGTGGACAAGCATTTTCTTTCCATTATTTCCATTTTGTAATAAAGTATCACAGAAATAATCAATTCAAAGACAGCGGGACATAAAATTATAAATGTTTTATGCAGATACAATAAAGATAACATAACAGTTAATTCAAATGCACAAGTATCACCAAATACAAGTATACCAGGATACCACCAGGATACCATTAGAACTGAAATCTCTATTAAATATTAACAGCATTTGGCTTATGGCTATTATCAATTCAGGTAAGCCATAGCATACCATAACAAGCCCTTTGGTAAATGCCGTTTCATTTCTAGGTGAGCAAGAGTCACTTTTTCCAGTCAAAATTACAGCAGCAACTTGCATATCTTTCAGTGAATGATGTGATGATATACAAAGGGATTCCCAGGTGGCACTAGTGGTAAAGAACCTGCCTGCCAATGCAGGATTTATAAGAGACATGGGTCCGATTCCTGGGTGGGGGAAATCCCCTGGAGGAGGGGCTGGCAACCCACTCCAGTATTCTTGTCTGGAGCATCCCATGGACAGAGGAGCCTGGTGGGCTGCAGTCCATGGGGTCGCACAGAGTCGGACGTGGCTGAAATGACTCAGCACAAGCACACACATGAAGCGAAAAGGAATGCCCCTTTAGATGGCTCTTCCCAAATTAAGGTCAACTCATGTGCATATTCCAGGTCCTTATGTTCAGAATATTAGTGATAAATACTTTTATTGTCTGTTTTATTACTCAGGATTTCCTTCAGTCTGAATAATAAATAAATAAAAATAAATATTAAATACCCTTACTGTTTGCCAAAATGGTTGTGTGTTTAATGTTTAGAAAGTTCCCAGTAACATACACACTTTTATTAAAAAAGTTGGTTCTGATATTGTTTTAAGTTTCCGAGAAGTTGTTCTAAGGGGTATTTATTGGAGTAAGTTTTATAATATTTGAAGTCTTCAGTACAAGATCAGCTTGGAAGAATCATGCAAAACATTTTTAGTAGGAAAATTAGGGTGCTCTTGGTTATTCTGAGAATGTATAAATAAAATTGTCAATTTTGTAGCAGTTGAGAGAAACCCTTTGGTTATTGCCAACACTGACATGGAATTAGACCTCTAAACACCTTTAAAGGTCAGGAGTGTCTGGATATCTGTGGTAGATATTGCTTTGTTATACAGAATGTGGATGCCAACAATATGATTCCAAAGTTTGATTTATTGTTTCTTTATCAGTTGACTTTCTTTTTTCTTTTCTTCCAGTTTCATTAGCTAACATTGACATATAGCATTGGATAAGTTTAAAATGTACAATGTAGTGATATATATATCATTGACTTTGGGCATGGCAATCCACTCCAGTATTCTGGCCTGGAGAATCCCATGGACAGAGGAGCCTGACAGATTACACAGTCCAGGGGTTGCAAAGAGTCTGACATAACTGAAGTGACTTAACGCAAGCATTGCACATGGTGCAAAAAGGAATGTCACTGAAGATGGCCCTTTCCAAATATAGAGGGAATGTGGAAATTAAGGATCCTTTCAGTCTAATTGTGTTATTTAAAGTGAAGAAAACTCGTAAGTTGTCTTCTGCATAGTTTGAGAACAATGTTAGATTGACTTGATCCTTTCTAAAGCTATCAGAAAGAAATGATAAATGATATGGGTGACTACTCATAAATGATATGGATTATGACCTTTTTTTTGAAACTAAAAAAATTGGTAATATTTGGGCAAAGAAAATGAAAGCTATGATTTGCATTGTGGTAAATAATTTCTCTACTCTTTATTCCAGAATATTTAATTAGCTATACCTAACCTTTGTTATCCACATTCACAGATAGTGGTCTGTTCAAGGAAAGTGTACTGTTGGAGTGAGATGCATGAAATTTATGCCAGCTGCCACCAGATTCCTTGGGAAGGTTTATACCATGTTGGGTCTGGCTTGCAGCAAGGTGCCCAGGGATACAGTTATACCTCCAGTGGAAGCCTGACAGTCTTTGCAAGGAACATTATGTGTAGCAGAACCAAGTAATCTCTGTGTTACGTGCAAATTCTGGAGGACTCGGGACCTGAGATGGTGACGGTGTGAGAGCGCTGAAGCCCAGCAGTGACCCCAAGGCCCTTCTTTGTTAATAGCTCCCATGAGCATTGCCCAGTAGCTTCTTTTGGAAGTTGCATATATTGATAGTTACATGATCTATGTATCAGAGTGTTAGCGTACACACACACACACACACACACACACACACACACACATATTTATATTGTTCTTTTTGGTGCACATTCTCAATATCCACTTGCCATTGCCAAAAATTCAACACTATCAGAAATTCAAAACAGTAGCCTTAACTTCTGTTTAGTCTGGAAGGTGCCAGACGAAGAATTTCAACTGCTATGTGTCTCCAGAAGATTCATTTCTCAAAGTGGAAATAAAAGTAATTGGGATGGTTCTTCCACTTCATCCAGTGCTATCCTGCTGTAGTGTCTTCATACTTCTGATGTTCTAGTTTAGGCAGGAGAGGAAACACTGAAAAAAAAAAAATAGGAGCATCTTTTCTTAACTGTTTCAGTAATGGAATTTGTTAAGGTGTTTCTGTGAAATCAAGTCTATGTCTCTGAAAATAGGGTCAGGATTAAAAACCAACTTGCAATCTAAAGATTCTTGATTCTGTTTTTGGAACCAGGTAAATTTTAGCAGAATCAATTTTAGTAAAATAACCATATGAATTCTTCAATTATTGGCATTTATTCTTAATTAAAATCGTAAGAGTGCATACATAAAGAAAACAGAGGCTAACTGAAATTTTTAAAAATTGAACAATCTTTGGTGTTTGAGAGCAGCTTTTATTTAAGTGCAAGTCATTATCCTGAAAGTGATTTAATTAAATACAGAAACACTTCAACTGTACAGGCAATTCAGACGGATTTTAAATTCTGGAAAACTTCATTTTATATTAAACAGCATAGAATGGTGTTTACTTAAGGTGCAGGCAGTTGCTGGCAACATGAGTTCATGCTTTGATTGCTAATTGCTGAGTTGTCTGCTTCCAGAATACAATCATTCTCCCAGGAGCTAAGAACAGGCAAGTCTACAAAAAAAAAAGTTTGGTATAAGTATTTGTTTATCCTGCTATTTTCCGCACAGTAAGTATTTCCACTTAAAGAAGGCTGACCCCTGTTTTGCAGTCTAGAATATCCTTGGGCCTCTGACTCTTGCCTTCTTTGTTTCAAGTCTATTATCAGCATAAGTAGAAAGCAAGACTACCCTCTAGGCTGGTGTGTGTGCGTGTGTGTGCTAAGTCACCTCAGTCGTGTCTGATTCTTCAAGACCCCATGGACTGTAGCCTGCTAGGCTCTTCTGTCCATGGCGAGGGATTTTCCAGGCAAGAATACTAGAATGGATTGCCATGCCCACTTCCAGGGGACCTTCCCGACCCAGGGACTGAATCTGGGTCTCCCACACTGCTGGCCGATGCTTTACCACTGAGCCACTGTTACATGATGCTAAAGTGCTTTATTGTCGATAGCTAATTTACTTCTCCAAGTTGTTGGTGTGGACATTTTTAATTTGCTTTTGTTTCTGTACAACAGGTCTCCACTAAGAATCAAGTTTCCAGAGTAACGCAGCAAGAGCTAACATTTGTTCAGCAGTTTATGATTTGCAAAGTTTTCTGATACACATGATCACATTTGGCACTCACTAGAATGCTTTAAAATAGGCAGTTATTTCTCATTATACATTAATTCTGTGTTAGGACCTTTCCCTATTGTTTCAGTTTCCTCCTGATGCTGTTGCAAATTGTCACAAGTTTAGTGGTTTAAAACAACACAAATATGCTATTTTACAGTTCCATGGATCAGAAGTCCTAAAGTCACAATGTTAGTTAGTAGGGCTGAGACACTTCTGAAGGATGTAGTGGAGAATTTATTTTCTAACCTTGTCCAGCTCTAGAAATCACCTAAATACACTGATTCATGGCCCCGACTGTATTCAAAGATAACACTGTAGCATTTTCCAATCTTTCTTTCTGCTTCCATTTGCACTTTGCTTTATTCTCTCTGATTCTCCTATTTCCTCTTTGTGATTTTGTGATGACATTGGCTCCACTCTAATAATCTATCTCCAACCTTAGCTTAGTCTATTTTGTGAAGTCCCTTCTTCTGTGCAAGGTAACATATTCACAGGTTCTGAAGACTAGGATGTGGACCTCTTGGGGATGGGGTGTGGCTAGCCTTATTCAGCCTGCCATACCCATATTATCTCACTTAATCTCACACCATCAGTATGGGGATTAAATCACTATTTTTTGATTTATAATCAAGGAAACAGACTAAAAACATTAAATAAACTAGTGAAGTTTTGGTACAGACAGACAAGTCATCAAATCAGACCTGATTATAAATCATATATTTTTTCCTTAAATTTTTGTTGTTCAGTCTCTCGGTCACTTCCGACTCTTTGTGACCCCATGGGCTGCAGCATGCCAGGCTTCCCTGTCCTTCACTATCTCCCAGAGCTTGCTCAAACTCACTTCCATTGAGTCGGTGATGCCATCCAAACATCTCGTCCTCTATCGTCCCCTTCTCCTCCTGCCTTCAATCTTTCCCAGCATCAGGGTCTTTTCCAATGAGTCAGCTCTTCACATCAGGTGGCCAAAGTATTTCCTGAAATAGTAATTTCTAAATCTTGTGTGCTTAAAGACTCTCTTCCATATGATAATATCACATACTTCAGAAAAAACAAAAGGCTCAAGGTTCTCAGGAAAACAACTTGGAAAAAATTTCTTACTGTAAACTTATTAGAGTAGGTTCATAGTGTACAAGATGATTTTGAAAGCTCCAGAATATTTAAAAAATCACTATTAAACTTTGTTTAATTAAAAATAAAATCATAACATCTAGTCCCATAACTTCATAGCACATAGATGGGGAAAAAATGGAAATAGTGGCAGATCTTTATTTCTTTGTCTCCAAAATCACTGTGGATGGTAACTGCAGCTATGAAATTAAAGAACATTTGCTTCTTGGAAGAAAAGCTATGACAAACCTAGACAGCAATATTATAAAGCAGAGATATCACTTTGCTGACAAAGGTCCATATAATCAAAGTTATGGTTTTTCCAGTAGTCATGTAGAGATGTGAGAGCTGGACCATAAAAAAAAGGCTGAGAGCCAAAGAATTGATGCTTTCAAATTGTAGTGCTGGAGAAGACTGTTAAGAGTCCCTTGGACAGCAAGGCAATCAAACCAGTCAATTAATTCTAAGGGAAATCAACCCTGAATACTCATTGAAAAGACTGAGGTTGAAGCTAAAGCTCCAATACTTTGGTCACCTGATACAAAGAGCTGACTCATTGAAAAAGACCCTGATGATGAAAAAGATTGAAGGTGGGAGGAAAAGGGGGTGACAGAGGATGAGATGGTTGGATGGCATCATTGACTCAATGGATATGAGTTTGAGCAAACTCTGGGAGATGGTGAAGGACAGGGAAGCCTGGCGTTCTGCAGTCCCTGTGGCTGCAAAGAGTCAGACACTGGCTTAGTAACTGAACATCAACAACAGCAACCCAATACTTCCCAAATTCTCTCTGCAAGAACACTTGCTGCATTGTTTTTTGGGGGAGAGTGGGAGAAAGGGGTCACATCTAAAAGCCCCTTCCAAGACAGAGACAGTTAACTTTTGAGAAACAGTAGGCAGACTCTGCATTCTCCTATGTAAAATTTGTCTCATGGCTCAGTTGTAAAGAACTTGCTTGCGATGCTGGAGGGCTGGGTTTGATCCCTGGGTTGGGGAGATTCCCCTGGAGAAGGAAATGGCACCCACTCCAGTATTCTTGCCTGGGAAAACTCATGGAGAGAGAAGCCTAGTGAGCTATGGTCCACAGGGTCGCAGGAGTTAGAAACAACTTGGAAACTAAACCACCTCTTTTAGAAATAACATTAAGTTTTCTCACTTACTACATTTCAGGCCAGAACCTCTTAAATTATCTCCGTTGTGTTGTTCTTGAGGAGGTTCACAAATATTAAAAAACAAACAAACAAAAAACCCCCACATATATCTTAAACATTTATCTTAACAAAATACCTATTCAGTATTTTTTCTTTATCTTGGAGGCAATAGCAGACTAGTTAGTAATAGCTCTGGAAGAAAAGATTAATATTGGGCTTAAATATATACTTATTTATCTGAAAGTAATTGTTTTCTTATCTATTCAAAAGCTTAAACAGGCTGTCTGAACTCTGAATCGGCTTTCTCTATGTGAAATGAAGGTATTACAAACCGCATAGAATTTAGATGCTAGCTAAATGGGTGCTAATGTTCATTTGGCGCTTTGTCTTGTGCCTGGGAAATCCCATGGATATAGGAACCTGGCAGACTACAGTCCACGGGGTCACAAAGAGTCAGACAGGGACTTCACTTTGGGTTTCTTTGTCTTGTGTCAGATGCTTTACCATTGAGATTGGAACTTGGAATTTTGAACTTACATTGCAGTCAGTTTCTATGGTTTCTTTATCCATTGAAAGGATTTTGGAGTAATTTACCAAAATATAGTTTTTCTTTGTGTTCATCCAATGAAAAATCGTTAAATTGGTTTACTAGAAAAATTCTTCACTGTCAAAGGATATGACAGCTCTTTCTTTAGATCATTATCACATAAACTGGTAAAAATCCAGAGGTTTCATGTTCCTTTTTCCACTTGCTGATTTCATGAATGTAATTTTCTTCATCTGATGAGCAGGCTCTAGCTGCTTTGGCTGTTTCTGAGTTGTGAACTTGATGTAAATCATTCTCTATTTCATTATTTTGATCAGCAATTAAATCCTCATTTAGCAAAGAATTTGGCATTTCAGAGATTTCTTTGACCTGATTGAGTTGTGAATTTGATGAAAGTAATTTCTTCTTTGCTTTTATTGTGTGATCAATAATTAAATCTTCATTAGATAAACAATTAGTAAGTGAAGTGAAGTGAAGTCGCTCAATCGTGTCCGACTCTTTGTGAGCCCATGGATTGTACAGGCTCCTTCATCCATGGAATTTTCCAGGCAGGGATACTGGAGTGGGTTGCCATTTCCTTCTCAAGGGGATCTTCCTGATCAAGGGATTGAACCCAGGTGTCCTGCAAACTGAAGGCAGACTCTTTACCATCTACATCTGGTTAGTAAGCCCTGCCCTTAATTTTATGCAGTCAGCCTTCTGTATCCATGGGTTCTGCATCTGCAGGTTCACTCAACCACAAAACAAAAATTATTTTAAAAAATTCCAGGAAGTTCCAAAAAGAAAAACTTGAATTTATTGCATGCTGACAACTATTTACATAGCATTTACATTGTCTTAGGCTTTGTAAGCAATGTGTGTTAAGTTGCTTCAATTGTGTCCAACTCTGCGACACATAGACTGTGGCCCGCCAGGGTCCTCTCTCCAAGGGATTCTCCAGGCAAGAATACTGGAGTGTGTTGCATTTCCTCCTCCAGGGGATCTTTCCCACCCAGGGACTGAACATGAGTCTCCTGCATCTCATGCATTGCAGGCAGGTTCTTTACCTTCTGAGCCATGAGGCGTTACTATAAGCAATGTAGAGACGATTCCAATTACACAGAAGGCTGTGCACAGGTTATATGCCATCTTGTGTAAAAGACTTAAGCAGCCCCAGCTTTTGGTACTTTCTGCGGGGGTACTGGAACCAATCTCCCATGGATATTGAGAGACAACTGTGTTGACGATGCTTGTCACAAACTTGCTAACTTTCAGTTCAGTTCTGTTGCTTAGTTATGTCCGACTCTTTGCGACCCCATGAACCGCAGCACACCAGGCCTCCCTGTCCATCACCAACTCCCGGAGTTCACACAAACCCATTTCCATTGAGTCGGTGATGCCATCTAACCATCTCATCCTCTGTCATCCCCTTCTCCTCCTGCCCTCAATCTTTCCCAGCATCAGGGTCTTTTCCAATGAGTCAGCTCTTCGCATCAGGTGGCCAAAGTATTGGAATTTCAGCTTCAAAATCAGTCCTTCCAATGAACACTCAGGACTGATCTCCTTTAGGATGGACTGGTTTGATCTCCTTGCCATCCAAGGGACTCTCAAGAGCCTTCTCCAACACCACAGTTAAAAAGCATCAATTCTTTGGTGTTCAGTTTTCTTCACAGTCCAACTCTCACATCCATACATGACTACTGGAAAAACCATAGCCATGACTAGATGGACCTTTGTTGACAAATTAATGTCTCTGCTTTTTAATATGCTGTCTAGGCTGGTCATAACTTATCTTCCAAGGAGTAAGCGCCNAAAAAAAATTGTTTCATTTATGTTATATCTGGACACACAGACTGAAACATACACATCCCCAAAATATAATAGCAAAATGATTGTTTAATTTTGCAAAATGTCCCTTTGCTGTCATGTTCAAATGTTTTAGTACTGTTCTAATTAGTTAAAACCTCTGCAGTTACAAATTAGCATAGAAAGAAAGAAGAAAATAGATACTTGGCACTAATTGGAAATAATACTTATAATGCAAGAATCTTTCACAGTTATGTCTCTGAGAGGAAGAATTTGATAAGTAAGATCATTTGCCTTGCCTCTTAAATAAATGCTTCCTTTGCTCAAGTTTACTTCATCCTATAAAGCAGAGTCCGTAGGCAAGGTTGGCATAATTAACCTCTCTTTGAAGACACATGGGAGGAGTTATAGAGAAGCATTTAGGGGGTGGCCTGAACTGTGTATACATCTTTCTTGCTGTTCTTCTCTGATAATCACAGTGTTAGTTCTTTTTCCACTTGAGAATTCAGGAAACATATTTTTTTTATCTCTTCAAATGCATATGTAATAAATATATAATAATTTTCCCTTATATACAAGACAACACAGGGTGAGGTGTATGGGATTTGAAGTTTAGAAAGACAGAATCCCTACCTTGTAAAGCTTACATTCTAGTTTTATACATGCATAAAAAAATCATTAGAAGGAACATGAAAAGTCCCAAAAATATGTTAAGCCCCAGTGAAAAGCTACAGGAGGAAAAAGAGATTTGGAGTTTGATCATAAGAGTAATTAGACTAAAAAGGCTCAAAATGGAACTCTTAAGTTGCAACTCTAGATCCATCTTTTAAGAGGTCTTTATCCTCTTTTCCTTCCAGTTTACTGGTAGCAATTTTGATTTATTTCCTTGAGCAATGAAAAATTACAGAAAATGTCTGTAGGATATGCTTCATGTTCTTAGTAGAGAGATTTCAATCCAGGGATTTCGGTATCTCTCTAAGCCTAAAAATATTCTTTAAAGATCTTCCTTTTCATTTTGAAATAAATTTATTAAAACTATATAACCCTTTATCTTAGCCAATTCAGTCTAGAAAATCCTTCATTTATATACAGCAGGATATAGAACAATGATCAAAAAATGTTAAAATTTTAGACATCTTTTTATTTATAAAAAGGGTTGCACCATGTAATATCTCACAATGAAGAATAGCCATTTATATACATTTATCTATTTGTTTATATATTTTGCTATATATCAGAGAAGGCAATGGCAACCCACTCCAGTATTCTTGCCTGGAAAATCCTATGGATGGAGGAGCCTGGTAGGCTGCAGTCCATGCAGTCGCAAAGAGTTGGACTCAACTGAGCGACTTCACTTTCACTTTTCACTTTCCTGCGTTGGAGAAGGAAATGGCAACCCACTCCAGTGTTCTTGGCTGGAGAATCCCAGGGATGGCAGAGCTTGGTGGGCTGCCGTTTATGGGGTCGCACAGAGTTGGACACGACTGAAGCGAGTTAGCAGCAACAGCAGCAGCTGCTATATATTGGTGTAAAAAATTGTATTGAAGAGATTAAACAGGCATGGGACACTTTATTCAACACTATAGCAATAGGTGAGAGAGAGAGTCCTGCTGAGTGAGCTAATGGAAAAAGTGCTAGGTAATATTAGGGGGAGTAACTGATCAATGTGTTAGGCCATCTGTGGTGGCTAGCTGTTGCCTATTGAAGTTAGGTATCTACCCTCTCACAGAGACTGGGGGATAGGGATTCTATCTCCTTCAGTGATCAAAGATCAAAGGAACGATTCCCGGGTCCTTGAGAAAGATATTCCTGGGTTGTAAAACTGTCTAGATGCTGGGAGAAGATTTGTGTGTGTGTTTAGTCACTCAGTCATGTCCAGCTCTTTGCCACCCCATGAACTGTAGCCCACCAGGCTCTTCTGTCCATGGGATTCTCCAGGCAAGAGTACTGGAGTGGGTTGCCATGCCCTTCTCCAGGGAGTCTTCCCGACCCAGAGACTGAACCCAGATCTCCTTCATTGCAGGCAGATTCTCTACTGTCTGAGCTACCAAGGAAGCCCAGGGGTGAGAAATAATTTACAGTAGAAAGTAGTCTCAAGTAAATGCTCTAAAGAGAGGAAAGGAAAACTAGGAGGAGACCTGTCTAAGATTTAGTCAAGCTGAAGAAAATGCTAAGGCTCACTTGGTTACTAGGCATTGAGTTTGTCTGGCAAATTACCTATTTAAGAAATAGGATCAAACAAATTGCCTAAGTCATAGAGCTTTTAAGTGGCACAAACGATAGAAGAACCTAGGTTGTCTGATAGAGCATATGTGGCTTACTCACTGCTTAGTATGGCTTTAGAATTGCACATAGAACTTACCAACTATTTCTTTCAAATTGGGTTCCAAAAAGACTCTATGAAATTGTCACATTTTACAAAAAGGAAACCTCAGACTCACAGAGGGTGATGACCAATAAACACAACTGGTGAGTGAATGTTGCATCTCATTTTGCCAAAGCTGTTTTAGTGAAGTATTCAGTGCAGTAAATACTTTTGACTTCCTAGAGAGTAAGTGGGCTCGGCAAACAATGGCTAGAGATGATGCTTTGCAAAAAGCATTGTGTATTTTTGCTTAGTGAGAGGACTAGAGGTAGAATATTTTTCCTTTTCTTAACCTGCAAGCTTACAAAAATTTATGGAAAACAATAAAATTGAACACCCATGTTCTCACCATGTGTGCATGCTAAGTCGCTGCAGTCTTGTTCAACTCTTTGCGACCCTATGGTCTGTGACCCTCCAGGCTTCTCTGTCCATGGGATTCTCCAGGCAAGAATACTGGAGTTGGTTGCCATGCCCTCCTCAGGAGAATCTTACCAACCCAGAGACTGAGCCCTCCTTTTATATCTCCTGCATTGGCAGGCAAGTTCTTTACCACTAGTGCTGTCTGGAAAGCCCATACAGGCTAAGCAAATCTTGTTATTTTGAGATACTTTTCTGGTGGCTCAGATAGTAAAGCGTCTGCCCACAATGTGGGAGACCCAGGTTCGATCCCTTGGTTGGGAAGATCCTTTGGAGAAGAAAATGGCAACCCACTC